CCCAGATATTGACGAATAGTTGATGCAATATTTGTGAGGATAGCATCGGGTCAGCTTTGAGCATCTCTGCTGATATGCGATCGACCCCCGGGGCTTTGTTGGACTTCATACTTCGGATGGCTGCTTCTATCTCCTGCAATGATGGAGCTTCAGTGTTGACGTTAGTAACACGCCTCACCCTTGGCGGATCATGCCGAGATGTTGATGGTTGGTTGACCGTTGAAACTTCGAGAAGTTGTTTAAAGTGCTCAAACCAATATTTCAACTGGTCCGTGGGGTCGGTGAGCAACTGTCCAGTCGCGTCTTTCACAGGCATCCTTGGGTTCATCCTTGCCCCGCTCAGGCGTCGTGAAACATCGTAGAGGAGGTGGGTATCGCCAGATGCTGCGGCTTTCTCTCCTTCATCAGCCAGGGAGTCCACCCACGCTCGCTTGTCCCGTATACAGGACCGCTTAACTTCCCTCTCTAGAGCCGAATACCGCTGACGGGCCTTGTTCTCGGGTCCTTGCTCGCTCTATCGCGGCTTTGGCTTTTCTCCGCTCCTGCATCTTCCTCCAGGTTTCATCGGTGACCCACTCCTTCCTCTGAGTGCGCAGCTCACCCAGGTTGTTCTCGCTTGTTTCAATAAAGGCATTCTTGATGCTCGTCCACTGCTCTTCTACGCTGCCACTTTCCGGAATATTAGCTGCGCGAGCTTCGAGTTCTTCGGCGAACGATCTCTTCACTGCTGGGTCTTCCAGTTGGCGTGTGTTGAATCGACGTCCGAGTCTCTCCTCCCGCCGTTAAACCCGCGCAATGCGTAGGCGGATCTCACCGACCAGGAGATGATGGTCAGACGCGATGTCAGCGCTGCGTTTATTCCGAACATCAAGAAGGTTCCGTCTCCATTTTCGGCTGATGCAGATGGTGTCGATTTGGTTCTTTGTATATCCATCACGGGAGACCCATGTGACTATGCACTGGGCCATGGGGGGAGTTCCCACTTGATGAGCGCAGCCTGTGCTTGGACGCTAAGCAGAAAGCCAACTCCACGATTTCGCAGAGTGTTTTCACCTCGCATACCAGAATATAAAAGAACCTGTCCCGAAGGCAGCTTGTGTTCTCCAAAGTTCGGCCTGCGGATTTCACTAAGTCCCAGGATTTCTAGCTTCATACGGCGGGCCTCACTGGCGAGTTGTGCCAGTTTACCCTGTTGGGCTAGCGTCAGTACATTCCATGTTCCAATTCTTGTCCGTTGTTTAGCACTAAAAGTCGTTGCCATAAAAATTAGTTCGTAATCTTTCACTATAGGTTTCTGTAACAATTTGAAGGTTTCGGAGACAGTAGGTGGTTGGCCTAAGGTATTATATCCGCCGTGATGGGACTACCATCGTGGGTATAGCTTTCGGGGAGAAGCATTTCGTATTCAGCCGCTGGATGCCAGTCAGACGCTGTTTGAGCCGCCCCTAACATGGAGAATAGACGCTCGGGTTTTGTAAGCCATATCCTCCGAAAAGGATGCAGTTAAAAATATCAAGTATCATTCTAGCTAAAAATATTTATTTGCATAATGTAACCTGGAAATTTCAGGGTTTCATCTTCCTTATTGGGAGCTGAGGAGACATAGAGCTGCATCATATTGTATGTAAAATAATTATTATTTTCATTGCAGAATACCAGTTTTTTTATCCATATAAATGTATTTTCATTATTACGTATTTTAATGTTCTGATATATTTCATTTCTCCATTACATATGTTTACTATATATAAATAAATACTGGGTTGGGAGCGAGCATCAGGGTGTCATTTGACCTGGAACTGGACGATTGTAGTGGTATGACAACCGGAGTCTAGGAGGGAATAAACACAATCATTTTCTTTATCCTACCGATTCGATTGTGATGGTGTGAATTCTACTCCAACAGTTTCATGGTGATTGACGCGCCCTTCTTTACAAACCATCCTGTAGGAAGCTTAATAAGTATTGCGAATTGCGTTATTCGATTTGTTGGATCGTATCGTTGGAAGGAGATTCTTAAATTCCCGTGGATTTCGCGTAAGTGCCTCTGTTTACGGGTCCACCCCACCGTTTTTGGCCCTTCATACAGCGATATTGTGAATTCAGATCGGTACCTCAAATTGATCTTGCTATTAAGTGGAGCTGCATACAAGACAAGATCTTCGAAGGGATGGTGGCTATACCTTACATACATCCTCCGAAAAGGATGCAGCTCCCCCTTCCCTGTCAGCATACGACCAAAGTTCCCACCGGGGTTGGTTACCCGATCTTCCCTAAGGTTACTCGTACCCCAGCCGGCGCCGCGCAGAGGAAGGGATAGGAGTTACTTCCCCATATAGAAAACAAATACGTAGTCCTACGTCAAAATACACTAGAACCAGTGTTCGAACTGCCAACATAGACTAGTCCTTCTGTAGTATTGTCGAAAGATAGTAGCAAAATTTACTCACATGGATCAAGTTTTGAAAACTAAGCTGTCACGCAGCTCCAGCTTGTAACCGTTCTTCCACTGTTCTCTGAGAATGCTACAAACGCAGCGGTTTATGCGCCACTCTCGAGTTTGAGAGACCACTGATCGTGTTTTTCTAAGGTTGCCCGACTTTGCTATTGTTGCAGGAGAGCAAATTTCTAGGGAACGGTTTCGAGGTGAATTCAAATGCAATGAAAGTGAACTAACAATGATTGCAACCGAAAACGAACGCACGTACAAATGCTTATGAAGCTACACTACTGCTTATGAAGCTAATTTGACTGATATCCGTTAAATTTAATGTAGAATAGATTACTTTCGTCCCCCTAGGAATCATCATGTTTGACACCTACCACGATTCATCGAATCATTTTAGACAAGTTCACCTATTGGCCATCTATTGATTCAACCTTGAACCGAAGACTACAAATCAAGAAGACTGGCAACTCTGCCAAAAATCAGGAGACAGTAACGGCAACGCCTCTTCTGAGCAAAAGTGGAACCTGTGCATGATGGTGTGTGTTAATTCACGAGTGCATTCACACACATAGGTAGAAATAAATAGCTGTCAATTATTAGTTTTGTTATGATTGTCGTAAAAAGTGAAACGTTTCTTTCTTTGCTTTATGCTGACAACGAGTAAAATTCCAGCTGAAATTGAACAGATGCGTAAGTAAATTTGTTTTGAAAATTAAAACTATGGCAATGATGCCATTCACAATGATGGTGGGACTATCTCAGAATTATCTTGCACTTTTCCTAAGCTCTTTAGTGATGCATTTATGGGCATTCGTATGATGCATTAGTAAAATGCATGCCCGTTCCGTATGGCATTGGCACCTGGCCACAACGGGGGGAGTTAAGTTGTGACGCTCGGCAACTTGACGCAGTACTCGTAGACCATTTGAATGTCACTGGCCAATCCGACACTGTTGTTATCATTATCTGGCAGGGTTCGGTCGATTCCAAGAATTGTTAAAGCATACAGAGGATCACTATCCGGTGGTTTCATGTTCTGACAACATTTAAAATGGAAATATATTCTTTATCAATACGTACCGTTTGGGATTGTAGTCCTTCAACCTTTCATTTTCATTTTCTCCAACATTAGATCCTGCTACGCCTTCCGTTGGATCGTGATGTAGGTACCGGATCTTTCTTCTTTTTGAATCCTTGAATTTTTAGCAGTTTTCGAATGACGGTAGCTCACTCAATGACAAGTTTTTCGGTTTGGAGTTGGAAAACCACCGGCTTGCTGTGATTAGGATACAAATTGCCGTGAAATTTTTTAGAGCAAAACCAAAACAACAACGGGTACTGTGTTATGATTATTTGTTTTGGTGACATTAGGTCACACACACAGTCACTGTTAATGAGCAGTCTCACTAACACTTGTGCTTCAAAGTTCCACCTTTGATAGTCAGAGGCACTGTTATCAGTGACGTTTGACATTTGTATGGGAGAAGGGAATAGTTGCCAGTCTTCTTGATTTGTAGTCTTCGCTTGAACTCAAAAGACCTATTGCATTGGAAACGGGAATTATATTAAAATTTAAAACTGCTAAACATTATAGCATGCGATGGATTGGATTTTTCGAACCGAAAAGGGATGTTTGAATGTTTATCTCGAATTGAAAAAAAAAGTTCTAAACAAAAGAGATGCTTTATTTTAAAAAAACTAGAAAAAATACATTATGAACTAACGTAGAACGTTACAAGCTTGATACCATAAAAAAAAAAATTTGCTTTACAATCCCCTGGAATTCTATTCCTAGTCTCGATAATAGTCACTTCAGAACTACTTTGGAATTTACCTTTGGTTTGGTATCTGGAGCTTCCAGTTGAATTAAAAAAAAAATTAATTCTAAAATTTTGTCCAAACCCAATGGTCATGCTTTTTTTTCATCTATGATCTTCAAACTTACGTTATATTTAAATTTTAGCTGGCATTCCTTTTTCTACCATATTTAGTTAAATGAAACCCGGGAAAATATGTTGGTCACCCGGGGAAAACCGGGAATTTAATTTCATAAATCCTGTTAGTTCTGTCAATCATCAAATATTTCAGTCCAAGGGCCTTGACGGATTTCCGAGTCCCTGATTTTTTAATTCGATCATTATAAGTATTTATCTCACTACAAACATTTAGGTATTTTCTTTGAGTCTGAAATATGATTGTTTTTCTAGATCCAGAATCTTAAAAAAATGTTTGGTGCATCTAACATGTTTTTGAAACCCAAGATTTAAAAAAAAATATCAAAGCTCAATCCCCTTTGGTTTACGAAATCTAGTTGCTTTCAACCTTTGAAAATGTGTTTGATTCTGTTACTCGAAAATATGTTATTTAGACACCTAGAAAAGTTTCTGTGTAGTTAGTTTAAAAGTTTTGGCTTTTGGATGATACTCCAGAAGTCTGGAATCTTGAAATTGGTTTTCATCCTTCCAATTAACTGAATTCGGAATCTTGCATTCTTCTAAGCAATGCTAAGAATCAAAACCTCTAAATTTCACTACCGAATCTATACTTCCAGGAACGCCCTGCTGGAGATGATTGCCGACTTCCAATCGGAACGGATGGATGAACAGCGAGCTTTGCTACCGGGTCTGAAACGAATATCGCTGAACAACGCTGCCGTTCGTCCTGGCGGTGCCACTGTTGGCCTCGGTGCCGTCGACGGTGAAGTCCAAGCGCAACAACCTCCACCGGCGGATGGCATCGGTACGCCGCCGGACGATGCATTCCTGGATATGCTGATGCGATGTCAGGTTGGTTTTGGGTTGACACATGACAATGATCGCCATGTGATTACCACAAATTTTAATTCTAGGGTTCGCGAATCGAAGAGCAACGGTCGGAGCTGCCGACGCCCAACATCACCATGGATGCGGAAGCAGGGGACCGCCGGGCGGCTACGGCCGGGAATCCCAACAGCGGAGCTACGGTTCCAGATGAAGATTTCTTTTCGCTGATCATGCGCCTCCAGGGTGGTCGCATGGAAGACCAACGAGCTACGGTACCTTTGCATAATAACAACAACAATAACAACAATCGTATCAACAACAACAATCAAAATCACAGTAACATCAATAATAATAACAACAATTACGCCGCAGCTGCTGCTGCCGGTGCTGGTAGCAGTAATACAAGCAGCAGTAGCAGTAGCAATGGAACCAACTCGAATAATAGTCAAAACCAAAGTTCAAATGGCGGAGGAAAAGGACTCAAATGATTTTACTCGTTAGATCGATAAATGCAAGTATCGATTGGGAGTTGTTGAAATTGTTAAAACATGAAAACCTGACTTTGTCGCTTTCCGGCATCTGCTTATAATACAACGGTAGGACTTGTAGGTATACAATCTATAATAGGGGTACAGCACCACGTCGATATCAAAAAACGATAAATAGAAATCGATCCGCGCCATATTTTCTGACTCTGCACTGGATGTTTGCGTGTGCGTGTGTATTTTTTTTGTATATGAGGGCATGTGTTGTAGAAATTTATTTTTCATCTGCGGCTGCTAGAGTATCCCTCCGATGAATTTGTGAATGATTCCACTAGATTTTAATTCTTTTGCATGCAATTTCACTTTTTGTACATAAGGAATGATTTAATTTACAAATGAATAAGACTTTTTATATTTTTCTACCAAGATTTATTTTTCTATACATCGAATTATTTTACGGGGAATCTTTTACAATAGGAAAAATCGAACAAATACAGAACACAAGACTTAAGCAAACCTCTTGGACAATTTTTTAAATACGAAAAAAAAAACCTTCCCATCAGTATCGAAAATGTATTAGATGATAACTAAACCCTACGCTGGTCCATAGTAAGTGAGACTTCGATTTGACACCGTCGGCTACAAAGTCGGAAGACTCACATTGACCAGGATTATAAAAGTAGAATCAAATGACTAGAATGACCAAAATGACCTTTGAATAAACAGCACTATCGCTAAAATCTTTCCAACAATGAAAAAAAAAATGTATGGTTAAAGTCTCTAGGCTAAGTTTAAAAACAGATCAAAAAGCCATTTATTTAGCTGATAAGCCTCGAGAACAAAAACAACTTATGGTGTAAGTAATTCCCTTCAAGTAAGTTAATCAACCGGATAATATTATACCATAGTAGGTAGAGCCACACGACTACAGGATATTTCTCTGGATTGAATGCAAAATTTTCTCCACTGGAATCTACCCATATTTATTGCAATATATCATTAGGTACCTACATTTTTCTCCATTATTAGAACGAGTAGATTCCGTAGATGGAAATCGTCTACAACTGATAGTAGCCACGGCATTTACATCACTTTAAATGAAAATCGAACGACATGCTTTTGTTCCCCTAAGCTGCGCAACTATTGCTGGCAGTGTTGTCAAATCTTCCAATATTTAATAAAGTCTTAAATTTGAATAAAAAATAAAAACAAATCAAATCATAATATATACACAACTAAATTAATAGCCACTAACTCAAATGATATAAGTGTAAGCTATCAACAGAACTAAACAGTAACATAATACGGAAGATACACCACACCTCACATCAATTAATTGCGTGACGACAAATTGCGATTATACTTGTTTTGAACTGCGTTAAAGTAAAACAGCAATCGTGTATATCAGTGCAGCTTATTCAAATTCGTACAAGTCAGTTTAAAACGGCTTGATATTGAAGGTAGCTACATACCAAACTAGCAATTTTGTTTTCTGTTTTCGATGTATGTGTGTAATTGTACCTATAGACACTATTTGTGATAAGGATTAAATTGCAAAAATAAAACTACTGTTAAAAAAAAAAACCCTTTCAAAACTATTTAGCTGGTCCCAATCATTCTTTTTTCGGTCGATTTTGTACCAGAACGAAGGGCTAGGAATGAATAAAATAAGTCAGGCGCATAAAATTGTTGAAAGTTCAAACGTGTTTTACCTAAACAGCAAATTCTTGTTATGTCCGATCCTAACAGTCTGAATATACGCAAGCAAAATATATGAATCATCCGAATGGTGTATAGTCTAAAACCTGAGACTGGTGTTTCGGTATTCGATGTCCGAAAATCACTTAATCGAAATTACTCCAATCAGTGGGAGAAAAGTTCCGCAGGATGGCCGAGCTGTAGAAGGGAAAACGGGACCCGTACAGAAGGCCGAAGATATTCTAAGGTACCACAAAAGGCCGAACACCAAGAAGGCCAAAAAATTTCGGTTTGAGAATACCTCCCATATTGCATTTCATCATCACGAAGCCACCTTTTTTAAATTAATTTATTTGTACATGCTCAATCGAATAAACTTTACAGAGCCAAGTTATCATTTTCTTTATTCATTATAAATCTCTTAAATCTAAAATTAGATGATTTGACCGATTACTCGCGGTCTTCTCGAGGTTAGTGGTTGACAATTGTTTGGATCGGGAGAGGGAAAAGGAGTTTTGGAATATGATTCATGATTCAAAAATTTCACTATATCTAAAACATGTACTTAATCCTATCGACGTTATATCACTCTGTAATTATACAATTATTACAGAAACAAATATACAAAAAAAAACAAACAAACACACACAAAATACAAACTAAACACAAGGTTAATCAAACTTACAATCTATGGTTAATATTCTTAAAGAAAACATATATGAGTTGCATAAACTCCAGATCGCGTCTAGCTAAAATATCCCGAACTGGAACATTAGGTTGTCTACCTCGAGCCCGAAGGGAATCGTACAGCTCAGATCTGACTCCGCGATGCTCAGCACAAGATCAAATAATGTGGTCTGCGTCCTGGTAACCTTGTACACATTCACAGAGATTGCTGTCCCCCAGACCAACACGGAACAAGTGAGCGTTTAACGAATAGTGATTGGACATGAGGCGAGACATCATACGAATGAAATCTCGACCCACATCCAACCCCTTGAACCAAGGACTCTTCGACACCTTAGGGTTGATCGAATATAGCCATCGTCCCAAACTCCCTTCGCTCCATTTATTCTGCCAGGTGACGAGTGACTACGAAGCCACCTTATCGTCGTTATTTTGAACGAAGCCATCATCGTCATTGAATACTCAAACATCCGGAAAAATAAAACTAACTATCACTTTCTCTCTCATTCAGCATCTGAAGCCTTTCTACTCTTGTGCTCTTACAACTAAGTCGCCTGGTTGAATGATCCGCATTCAGAAAAAAACGAGGCCATCTTGTCATTAAATCGTCGCTAAATACTCAAACAAACATAAAAATAAAGCTACCCAAATTGAAAGTTTTTTTTTTTTTTAATTTCCATTATGGTAATCGGATGGCTATTAAGGTGATTCTTTGTAGAGTCCATAAATGGCCGCCACGTAGGCTATACACTCGAATTTTCAATTACCCAAATCTCGGAAATCGGTGCCCCATTTCACCTGAAATTGCTACTTCATATATGATGCAGTGCAGCAAACGTGGAGTAACAATTTGAATGTTGCACGTGTCGTAGAAGCTTATATTTGTGCACTTAAAGTTTCAAAGTGGTTCCGAGAATAAGGATGTCACAGCGATTCACCTTAAGTAGCTTGCATTATATTTTATTTCGAAGATGCAAAATAATCATTGTCGTACCCTGGGCATAACCTTGAGGATTGCTTAACTGCAACTAGGTCCCAGGGCTTGTCTGTATCTTTACATTTTGAAAGATGCACACTAGTGATGCCAGTTGTGATGTAGCGGACCAAAAGTTTTTTGGAATTTAACTACTAGCAAAGACATCATATGTTGATATGTTGTCTTTGCTACTAGCCAAAATTAAATGATTATGTAGTTTAGAATTATGATTTTATCTATGAATTGTTTTTCTAAATAATTGAGTCTTATGACTGCATTTTTTTTTTTTTAATTTATTTAGTTCAAAACTTTTGGAATGCGGCATCACATAGGTAGGGTTAACTACCCCATTACCGGCCTATTAAGCACAACCCGCACTTAATCTACACGCTTAATTTTTTTCGCCGAGATTCCAACAGCCAAGTAGTTCTGCAATTTATTTTGCTGAGATTCATTGAAACAATTGCCGAGACTCAGCTAACAAATTAGATTTTGCTGAGGTATCAGCAAAAGTAAATGCCGAGGTAATCGGCTGTTGAAGATTTTACCGATCTAGATTAAGAGTGTAGCGCAGTTTAGCACCAAACGGAATGTTATTATTACTGATGGCTTCCAAATTAATTTACCTTTCCGTATGTACCGTAAGAATTGATAAAGAGTAACCAATCGTTGAGAAATTGTCAAAAGTCTAACACTGCTTCTTGACGCCAAACTCGGCCTACGGATTCTCAACTCGGCCTAACGCATTGAAACGCCAATGAATTCACTTCGGCCTATATCGGATGAAGATGAAAATTGATTTGGTTGGAGCGCTTCTTTTGTTTTTTGGAAATAATGGGTGCAAACCTTCTTATCACGCGTTCTCATTCACTTCGTTCGGTAGCTTATTAACTAAAGTATCGTACCAAACGCATAATTGACTTATTAAATCATGGATTTATTTGAAGTTTGCTGCGCGATAGTCCCGAAATGGACGATTAGGCCGAAGTAGTTCCCTACCCTACTACCTTTGAATTTGGCTTGATCGAGAGGCGATTTTCTTTCTTTAGATCAAGACGATGAAGTTTTGAAGAAGACAACGATATTAACTATCTGCACGCTGGATCCACATATAGCCATGATAGAGGGATAGAACATCATTTTATTTTCATAAAAACAAAACCATCCGAACAAATGATCAGGAAAGCCCTTGAGGCTCCGAACCATTTGGTGGATTTTTTTTTAACTTTTGGTGTAAAATTTGACAGATGTAAAGTTATCGATTAAGGCTGTGAACCATTTGCCGAGTTAAAATTAACTCGTGGTTAAAAGTGACATTTCGAAAGTTATTTTCTATTTTCGAAAATCCCCGTGCTGTCGATCGACCGGTTTTCGACCCACCGTTGTCAAAATTTAACTTCTTGTCTGTCAGAAATAACCATGCTCGGATAGCAGGCTGAGTTCTTTTCATAAACCGGTCGATCGACAGCACAGGGATTTTCGAACATAGAAAATAACTTTCGAAATGTCACTTTTAACCACGAGTTAAATTTAACTCGTGGTTAAAAGTGACATTTCGAAAGTTATTTTCTATGTTCGAAAATCCCCGTGCTGTCGATCAACCGGTTTTTGAGCCACGGTTGTCAAAATTTAACTTCTTGTCTGTCAGAAATAACCATGCTCGGATAGCAGGGTTAATCGATAACTTTTCATCTGTCAAATTTTAACCAAAAGTTAAACTAATCCACCAAATGGTTCAGAGCCTAAGTATGGTATCCCGGAGAAACCATGCTTCACATGGAAAACCAGTGCAAGGCACGAAGCGGTCGATCGGCGGATTATTGACAAGAAGTGGCTAATCACTGAAGCGAGTTTAAAACATCCACGACAAGATTGTTCACTGAAATGATGGAATCAGAATACGAAGACTCGGAAAATACTCTCATGGTGGTAAGCTCTAACCGGTATCATCCTCGGATTAAATCCCGATCAAGAATGTTCGACTACTTTGATGTTGCCGTCAGAGTTGATCAACACGACTCTAAGCAAACATTTTGTATATCATCCAAACAGGGACGGTATTAAAAGTTAATCCGAGTTGGAGCTTACCACCATCAGTGATTCAAGTTCAATGAGGTACAGTACCGAGGTGGAGCAGAGCGCGAAGTAAACTGATATTAGTTAGAGAAAAAAGTGGTGACTTGCTTTTAGTTGGGATCTTATATGGCAATCACAATAAAAAAATAAAAAATACTTTAAATTATATACCATTTTAAACTGAAAGGCAATTGCCTACGGCACAAATTAATTTTCATTTATATGAACAACGGTTTGTTTACAAGGGGTTAAAATAGCTTAGGAAATATTATTCAAACATTTAAGCCTGGCATATTCAAGAATCCTCCGAATAGCAGCGCGATGGGTAATGCTACCTGGCCACATATATTTTTTGGCTGTCCTCCAATAGATTGAGTAGATTTTTTGTATGTTGCAGGTAGCAACACACCCAACAAACAATTGCCTATTGAAGAAACGACTTCTTGACGATTTTATTCCACTTCATGCTTAATAATACTTGTACTATTTTTAATAATAACTTCTGTTCAGGCTTTGTTCACACAAATCTGGAGAATTTATTCAACCACAACATCGAAATATTTGATGTTGAATAAGGTAGGTCGAGAAGCTTTTATTCGACTTACAAAAGTTGTAACAGAGCTTATTCGATAAAAATTTTTGATTATTCAGTGTTTATTAGACATCATTACTTCCTTAAACAGCGTTGGTATGAAGGTTTATAGAGACGCTTGATTCTCATGTGACATAATGTTTAATTAGACACTATTATACATTTATTAAACGATTATTCAACTACGGTATAATTAATCCGAAAATAAGAACGGGACAGAGCAGGGGGTTGTTTTCTCTCTCGTTAGTGTTTGTAGTGTCATTACTTTTGTCGAAAGCACACACATAGATCCTAGAAAATTTATTACATTACACACATATCGTTGGATGGGATTCGAACCATGACCTTCCGATCACCAGCCGCTTGCCTTGCCATCTGAGCTATCCTAGAATACGTCAAATGGGCAGCTAAATAAGTAATAAAAGTTTGAATCTGAAAACCTATCAGCACTCCCAGCCGTAACTCTAGCTAATCCAAGGAGATGTGAGAATGATTAATTCATTCATAGTTGTTTAACATGAGACCAACGTTACCTCTCCATCGATGCTATTCTTTTCGATAGATCGATGAATTGGTTGTAGTGAGTGATACGATCTAAGATTACGATTTTTTTTTTTTTTTTTTATTATAGTCACTTTAACGTTCCTGGGTCATTTGTGACTTGTCCGGGGATGAGATTTGAACTCGTGACTTTGGCGTGAGAGGTATGGATACTAACCACTACGCTGGGGTCACCCCCCGAATATGATTACGATTTAAATTAATTAGGCGTAGAAAAAA